GACGGACAACCCACTAACGAGGCGATGATATGGCATGGGTACAGACGGACAACCCACTCACAGGCAGTCCACGAAGCAACCATCTCCTCTCCTCCCTTGGACCTCCTCGCCTTCGCGCCGCGGGACCAGCTCGGACACGCTCCCCCCTCCTCCACCGCTCCACGCCTCTCGACCGCACACTGCTCAACTGCCTTCTGCAATGCGCCCGGGTCTCTTCGCGCCGCGGGACCAGCTCGGACACGCTCCCCCCTCCTCCACCGCTCCACGCCTCTCGACCGCACACTGCTCAACTGCCTTCTGCAATGCGCCCGGGTCTCTTCGCGCCGCGGGACCAGCTCGGACACGCTCCCCCCTCCTCCACCGCTCCACGCCTCTCGACCGCACACTGCTCAACTGCCTTCTGCAATGCGCCCGGGTCTCTTCGCGCCGCGGGACCAGCTCGGACACGCTCCCCCCTCCTCCACCGCTCCACGCCTCTCGACCGCACACTGCTCAACTGCCTTCTGCAATGCGCCCGGGTCTCTTCGCGCCGCGGGACCAGCTCGGACACGCTCCCCCCTCCTCCACCGCTCCACGCCTCTCGACCGCACACTGCTCAACTGCCTTCTGCAATGCGCCCGGGTCTCTTCGCGCCCTGCGGGGACTTAGCTCGGCATGCTCACTTCTCGCAATCTGGCACACGGAGATTCGATGACCATGGCAAACTGGAACACACAGCGAATGGAGACAGCGGCTCAGAGCACGTGTAGACTGCCATGGCGAGGCGCTCTCTTTTGTCGACGATGCTCACTTTGCCCGTGCCCAACCCACTCCCCGGCCCAGCCACTCCCCGTGTAGACACAGTACAGAGGGGTGACGGGCACAACACACATGCCCGTCACCCCCCAACCCTTCCCGCTGCCCAGAGCGCCCTCACGAAGCGCCGGGCTTGCAAGGTTACTCGAGAAGACCCCGGCGGGGTACAGTGTAAGTCTTCTTCGACGTCCCTCCCACCCCCGAGCCCTAAGTTTTGGCTGGGCGGGTAAAATTCCTTTTATACCAGCCCATTTTCTTTTTTT